TCGATCCGTCGACGAGCTGAACAATCTCCTTCGCCGATCTCCATGTCTGCCGACGTTCCATTAACATGAAAATCAAATATATGAAGAACATTGCTGAGACCTTTGAACCACCCATGAATTAAGGCTTCTAAAGGTTCATTGCTACACTTTCTTCTTGGGTTTTTTAGGGTTTTGATCCTAGAGATTTTATAGTTGAATTCTATGAGCAACCCGTGATTGGTTTTCCAGAAAATTGAAGAGAAAGTGAGGGACATAATGTAGATAGAACAACACCACGTTGCTACAGAGAATTTCAAAGAGATCAATTAGAGAGTTTGGAACGTTGTGTTGATCATCGCGAACTCCAAGAACTCAATCCGTGAGTAGTTCAGTGAGGAAAGAAAAATGTTAGGTTTTATTTCTTGGCAAACCCGTTTGACAAAACTCCTTTAAGTTGTAATTTTATTCGCATTTTTATTTCAGTGAGACTTTGAGTGTCAGCCCTTCGATTGTTCACTCTAGGAGATCACTCTAGAGAAGGCAATCTAGAGGATCCTCACGCCTGTCTGTAAACTAGCTATCCAAGACGCTAACCAGTACCGAATATTTTGGGTTTTCACTAGGGCTGGACGAAGCCAAACACATTCTAAAATCTAAAATTATATTCAACCCATAAACCATAGCTTTGCGGGCCAAGATTAAGTCAGGCCAGGCTTTGAGATCATTAAGCTAATTTTTCACATTTTTTCTGTTTATAGCTCCATTAGTTTTATTTAATTTTTGGAGAAATTATTTATAAAAAAAAATCCAAAGGTTCGGCCCTTATAACAAAATAAATCCTATTTATTAATTTTATTAATTTAAATTCTAATTCTTTTATATGTTCATTAAGTAAAATTAATAAAAAAAAAGGTATATTTCAGTCATTAAACTCGATAAAAAAGATATTTTAGACATTTTATGTATATTTACATTGAGTTTAATAACTAAAATATTATTTTTCTGTAGATTTTACTTAACAAAAATAAGCTAATGGTTTAGATTGACAACAAATTAAAAGATTAGGGTTTAAATTGACAAAATTAAAAACTCAAGATTTATTTTACTGTAATTATGCCTTCATGTTATTTATTTATTTATTTATTTTGGCATTCTCGTGTATTTTTTCAGCTTTGAGCTTTACGACAATTAGTCTAATATTTTTTTTTTCCTTTTATTTTTAGTTAGTTTATGATTTTCTTAGTTGAAAATTTCTTCACCTTTTGTATATTGATTAATTACAAAATATTGAGAATGGGCTAAAAGAGCAAGTCACTAAACACGTGTTTTATTTTTTTCTTTCTTTCAAAACATTGCTACTTTTTATTTTTATTTTTTACCAAAAAAAAAATGTGTATTTTTTGTAAATAGAAAACCAGAACTAAGGACTATCAAATGACACCTTGCGCGTGATCTGCAAAAGCAAATTATAAAAGCAAAATCACAAAACTCTAGAAAAGAAAGAAGGACTTTGATGTGGTTGAAGAAAAGAATCTCTCAAATCAAAGAAAAAACCATTGTATATAGGCCAAAAACAAGTGAGATAGGGCATGGAATCCTTGGTTATGAAGTCCTTCTATCTTAATACACTTCCAATCATTGGATCATAATTTGAAATTCTCGAACAATTCTATTGATACAGAAGAAAGAGAATCCAAAGATAAAAGCAAACTATAAAAGTAAAATCATATAACTCTGAAAAAGACAAAAAGGACTTTGATGTGGTTGATGCAAAAGAATCACTCAAATCAAAGGAAAAACCATTGTACACGCCCCCAAAAAAAAAAAAAGTGTGATAGGGCATGGAGCCCTTGGTTATGAAGTCCTTCTATCTTAATACACTTTCAATCATTTGATTATAATTTGAAATTCTCGAACAATTCTATTGATACAGAAGAAAGAGAATTTCGAGATAAAAGCAAACTGTAAAAGTAAAATCATATAACTCTGGAAAAGAAAAAAGGACTTTGATGTGGTTGATGCAAAAGAATCACTCAAATCAAAGGAAAAACCATTGTACACGCCAAAAAAAAAAAAAAAAAAAAAAAAAAAAAAAAAAAAAGTGTGATAGGGCATGGAGCCCTTGATTATGAAAACCTTCTATCTTAATACACTTTCAATTGTTGGATCAAATTTTGAAATTCTCACTAAATTCTATTGATACAGAAGAAAGACAATTCAAAGATAAAAGAATCCCTAACCGTGAGACAATAGTTAGAATGAGGAGAACAATTGAGGTGACATACGTTAAGCATCAACAGAACATAAAACATTGAGAAAGATATAACAAATTAAAAGTGAATTATTAGAGAATCTAAGAACGTAAAGAAAACGAAAACTGAATAATCGCAGAGTTGAAGAAAAGAATTCCACTAGTTACAAACAATGGTGTAATTAGGAATTTTAATGAGTAGGGCCATTTAACAGTCATCATTATTATTATGTCATATTTTCAATTTTACACAAGCTATCAACATTAAAGTTCACATGATACCTTACAAATTTCATATATTTTCAGTCATATTGACAAAATAATTCAAATTAGTCAATTGCAAGCAAAAATTATGTCATATTTTCAATTTTACACAAGCTATCAACATTAAAGTTCACATGATACCTTACAAATTTCATATATTTTCAGTCATATTGACAAAGTAATTCCAATTAGTCAATTGCAAGCAAAAATTATGTCATATTTTCAATTTTACACAAGCTATCAACATTAAAGTTCACATGATACCTTACAAATTTCATATATTTCAGTCATATTGACAAAATAATTCAAATTAGTCAATTGCAAGCAAAAACAAAATATTAGGACATTGTATGGCTTCAATAAAATAGTCAATAAATCTCATAATTATTTTTTACCGCCTTTCAGTTTTTTTCAATTTTTATTAAGAAAATTTTGTAAAATTTAATAGTTTGTATTGTATTTTCCGTTTACAAATCTGAATAATTTTATAAATTTGATTATTACAAAATTTGTAAACTACAAAATAAATTTGTAAATTTGATTATTTCTACCAAATCAATTTGTCTGCTAATCAAAATACGGGGATAGCGTGGATCTGCTTGGATAATAGGAACCAAATAATCAATCAACAAGCATTACTGACGCATCCACTGCAATCTCCATTGGTGGCGGAAGCGAAACCATGCTCGGAAGCAATCTAATGGGGGCTAAAGAATGGGATGAAATACGTAAGTGTTAAAACAGATTCCCAAGTTCTGGTGAGAATGCTCCAACAAAAAGGCTTTAATGTTGAATGGCGGATTGCTACAATAGTAAATGATATTTTCTATTATGTTAAATATTTGTACTACTTTTGTGTTAGTATAGTAGAAAGAAATGTAATTAAACCAGCCCATAATCTGGGGTGTACTACGTGTTAAGTAATATAATATGGTTTATAGTCCTCAAAACATGCAACTGTGAACCACACAGTAAAATTGCTATTTATTTTATAATATAATAACATATAAAAGATATTTATTTGTATAAATGTATGTATGAATATCTAAAAAAATATATAAAAATATGTAAAATTATAAAATAAAAATAAATAAACTAATAAAATATATTTTAACGGGTCAAATATGTAAAATTTAGACTAAAATCAATTTAAAATATTTTAACCAAAATGGGTAAAGGTTGGGATTAAAGTTTAAATTCTTTCTTTTTCTACTGAGAATTTTGTAAGATAGTATATTCTTATTTTCATTCTCGAGTGTTTGAAAGAAACCAAAATCTTAAGACCGGTCAAAATAAGGTATCTACACACACTACACCAAATTTAAATTTAAGTCATTTTTTATTCTCAAGTGCTTTTCAAATTATTTTTCAGTTAGATAGCATTATCAAAAAGAAAAAATAAAATAAAAATGTGTGTATATACACATATCACATTTGCTTCAAATTATTTTTCAGTTAGATAGCATTATCAAAAAGAAAAAATAAAATAAAAATGTGTATATATACATATCACATCTGCCATTCAATTCAATCTAATTTTGACATTAATTAACTTTTTATGCATGACAGCTGTAACCATAGATATGTGTGGTTAAGTTATGTAAACTATAGTTAATCTCAATGGTTTGATATTTTGTACACTTCTTAGAGCATCTCCAACGGTGAACTTCTTTTTTCACCAAATCTGAGTAAAAAATGACTCATTTCACCAAATTTGCTATCACTAGCTCCAACGGTGCATCAAATCCCGTAGGGAAACCGGTTGGTCGACCGGTGGGTCGACCGGTAAGTGTAAAAAATTTTTTTTTTTTTTTACCCTTTTGAACTGTTTGAACCCACCTTTGTGAACCGTGGAAAGGGGCGACTAGTTGGTCGACCGGTCAGCCAATTTTTTTTTTCTTTTCTTTTTTCTTTTTGTTTCCCTCCATTTTTGTTCCCAATTCTTTTTCCTATTTTTGTTTCCCTCCATTACATATATGTCTGGCATATGGATTATGTTCTCATATAAACCCATTATCCATATGCCAGATAACTCCACACAACTGATACGATCATAGCTTAAACAAAACAGAGCATAATGAATACCTTCAAATTCAAATCCATGATATTGACTTCATTTTCATCCTCTTCTTCTTCCTCTTCCTCTGATGATGAGTCTGATGATGATGAATATATCGCCACACTTTTAGGAGCTTATGAGAAGAATAATACTAGTATGTTTCAGATTCTTAAGTCAAGTGATAGCTCAAAGAAAATAGGTGGTTCTGTTGTAGGTCATAGATATATACACAAAGATAGAAGGCAGGGTCATGACAGATTGTTTGCAAATTATTTTACTGCAAATCCAGTGTATTCACCTACAATATTTCAGAGACATTTTCGAATGCGTCGTCCTTTGTATCTACGCATTTTGAATGCAATCCAAGCACACAATTCATATTTTTTTCAAAAACAAGATGCAGCTTATGTACTTGGATTATCTCCCCTACAAAAAATGACTTTAGCGATGAGAATATTATCATATGGTGTCGCAGCAGATGCAGTTGATGATTACATTCGTATTGGGGAAAGCACTGCAATTCAAAGTTTGTAACAATTTTGTAATTCAGTGATTGAAATTTTTGGAGAAGAATATTTGAGATCTCAGACGCCAACTGACATTGCTAGATTGCTTGCTATTGGGGAGGTTCGGGGGTTTCCTGGCATGTTGGGAAGTTTAGATTGCATGCATTGGGAGTGGAAAAATTGTCCAAAGGCATGTCAAGGTCAATATGTAGGCCATCAAAAAAAGCCAACCATTATTCTTGAAGCAGTAGCATCTTATGACTTATGGTTTTGGCATGCATTTTTTGGAATGCCTGGCTCACACAATGACTTGAATGTGTTGGACCAATCGCCTTTGTTTTCTGATCTTGCGCAAGGTAAAGCTCCCCCTATCCATTACGCAATTAATGGACATAGTTACGTATGGGTTATTACCTTGCTGATGGTTTATACCCTCAATGGGAAACATTGGTTCAAACAATTTCTTCTCCCCAAGGAGCAAAGAGACAACATTTTGCAATGATGCAAGAGTCTGCCAGGAAAGATGTAGAGCGGGCATTCGGAGTCCTTCAATCTCGATTCACAGTTATAAGTGGTGTTGTACGTTATTGGGATTCGAAAATGCTTGCCAACATAACGAAGAGTTGCATCATATTACATAATATGATTGTCGAAGATGAGAGGGAGGAGCACCTTGATTTCAATTATGATATTTCATCAACCAACACACCAGTGCAACTTTTCTCTACTCCTACCAATGACTTCCAATTATTTTTGTCTCGTCATTTAGGTATTAGAGATAAGGATGCATATCCTGCCCTCCGTAATGATTTAGTAGAACATATGTGGTATCTTCATGGTGAACACTAAATTCACCACATCAATACATGTAATTTTGTTTATAGTTTTGGAATGGAAGATTCTCTTGTTTGTAATCTTCATTATGATGCACTATATTAACTAAGTAATTCAGAAGTTATGTGATGATGTGCTGTTGTAATATTCAATCTTTAATATTCAGAATTGTGCAGTGTTCAGTTCATGACAATTACAAATGATAATATACATAACTTAATCGGTTACAAATGATAATTTCACATAAAATTAATATGATTTTCTTAAATTCTATGTTGATGTGCCACAAATGATAATACCACATCCATTTATGCACATTTCATAATCATGTCTTAAATGATAATTTAATAATAATATATTAAATTATTGATGTTCATGTGCATAATCATAATGTCTTCAATTACTGATGTAGAAGTGCATAATCATAATGTCTTCTTTTACTGATGTTGATCAGCATAATCATAATTTAATAATATTGTCTTAAATTAGTATTCTCAATTCAAGGTCAATTCTTAAATTACTGCATCATCATTATTTTTGCATATACAAATTTATACAAATTTATTGACGTGGGATTGATTTACTGATGTTGATCTTGCCATTCATTTATTACCTCACTTAAAATGCATTCAACATACATAGTTAAAAAAATACATAATAAGCCATTCATTTAGTCAGTAGATAAATGCATTCCACCAACAAATCATAATGTCTTCAATTATTTATGCACACACTGCATACATTTGAACCACTTACCATTCATTTTACACACACCACCTACCATTCATTGAATGCATTCCATCTACCATGCCTCATTTTACACACTGCATACGGTTGTTGAGTATTAATTTCCTCACCACCTACCTCAAGAATTGAGCCTCTATATCAGCTCAAAATTATATACAAGCCTGCCATCAAAAAATTAACAACCTTCACTGAATACCTCTGCCCATAGATTGCTTGTCTGTCCACAGATTGCCTCTAAGAACACAGTTAATGTATTCCCTCCACCATTACCTTCAAATTTAGTTTAACCAAAATCTAAACCCAAACTCTGCATATTCAGTGTAGTGTAAGTGTGAATCCACAGATTGAGCAAGGGAAACCATTTGAATCAAGAAAGACAGGAACAGAAACAAGAAGGCAGCATCCAAGAGGTAGTATGTTGCATGGTGAAAGGCACGGGTCAACCGGTTGGTCAACCGGCCCTATTTTTTTTGTTTTTTTTTTCTTCTTTCAGTGTGTATGCTGTATTTGTTCAATTTTATGTTTTATTTGTTCAAGTTTAACTTTCTCAAGAGCATGAAATTCATGTTTGAAACAAACTTTATGTTCAATATTTTAAAACATAAAATTGTTCAATATTATAAAAATTAACAGAACTGTATGTTCAATTACTGATGTTGTTCAACTTTAACTTTCTCAATATTTTAATCAAACTTTCTGTGGTACTGGCATATGATGATTTTTAGGATTATTCATACAGAACTGTAATTCATACAGAATAGAGAATATGTTGAAAATCAACATAGAATATGAAAATGAACTCCCTGTTGATTTTAAGGCAACACAGAACTGTAATACAGCAAATGAATGACAAATGAATAGAGAATGTGCTGTATAAATTTTCAACTCCCTATTGACTTTCATAGCATATTAAGGCAACACATTCATACAGAACTGTAATTCATACAGCATATTCACTATTGACTTTTAGGGTAATTTAAAAAACATGTAATATGAAAGTAACATGTAATTAGTATGCATACTGAAATATGGTAATGTTTTTCCATTTTAATATGCATTGTAATATTAAAACTATATTCATTTGAAATTCAACAAATTTTGACATCATGCCTAGAACTAAAAGAGCGAGAGCACAAGTTGGTGAAAGTTCTAACCCTCCACGACGCGAAGAACAACAGCCTCAAATTCAGTCATATCCTACTGATGATTTTCTCAATAAAAGTCATGCACTAGCCTTTCCAAACTTCTCTAGCTGACCAATTGTAACAAGGAGGAGGGTAAATCTTCCATCTTAATATGATGCACTATGAATTAGTAAACTTGAAGCAATGGGATGGCTAAACTTAATTAATTTGCCCCAAAAGGTATATCCACAGCTGGTATCTCGATTTTATGTTCACCTAAGAGGTACTCAGGATGAAGATGGAAATTTTACTCTTTTGTCATATGTGAAAGGAAAGGGTATACAGTTTGATATTCCTACTTTGGCAAGCATTATTGGAGTTGAGTTAGGTGATGAAAATATTCATTTTCAGATTGAAGCTGAGTTAGCTAATATCATTGGTAATGCTACTGATGTCTATACTACTATTTGTCGGAACAGATTTACAGGGACTAGTTTACAAGCAAGACTTTTAAAACCTTATCTTCGGATTCTCCACCGATGGATTGTAGAAAATGTCACTCCAAAAAAAGGACATCATGATGCGGTCCCATATTTTAATACCTATTTGTTATACTGTTTTGAAGTTGGTCAGAAGTTAGAATTGTGTTACATAATTATGAAAGAAATGATACTGACAAATCAAGGTCAATTCACGGGTCGGTCATTACTGTTTGGGGCACTCTTAACAAAAATTTTCAAACATTTTAAGGTTCACCTTGTAAATGAAATGGATATCAAAATCCGTTTACCAATTAATCAGTATACAGTGACCCGTTTCCAATTTAATGGGAAGTGTTAATGCTCCAGAAGATTCAGAAGATGATGCTCCAGAAGATCCTCATGCCAATGTGATGCCATCAACTGAACAACCTCAATATTGGACTGAGTTTTTGTCCATGGAAGAACAACGTTATAATCAACGCGTTCAGTGGGAACATCAAATGGCTAATCAGGTCAATTCGTTGGGTACTCAGTTTGATACATTTGCCACTGCACAGAACTCATTAATTCAACAATTTGGTGATTTCCGTGTGGACATTGAGCATCGCGTAGATACGATTGAGCATCGCGTAAATGACATATATCATCACTACTACCCTTCTCCACCACCACCACCAGATAATGACTGTTGATGTGTTTCACGTTATGTATTTGTATTGTTTTGTATTTTGTTATTTTAACAACCTTTTGTTGGGTCAATTTGTTAAAGAGGACGACATTAATTAAAACCTATTCAGTTATGACCATTGGCCTATGCAGTTATTATCACTTTATATTGTAGTTTTTCATTTTAATGCCTAGTTGACAAAAGACATGATTATGTACATCCTGAAAATGCTACAAAAAGGTCATTATCCAGTTATGATTCCTCTGGTACAAATCATGTTATAGTAGTCAATGACTTCACTTTAAATATCATTTTATAGAAGAGGAGGTTAATTAAAAAAAAAAAAACACATTGAACTACAGGCCAAAGATCTCCCTATGCAAAAAACATCCTGAAAATGCTACAAAAAGGTCATTATCCAGTTATGATTCCTCTGGTACAAATCATGTTATAGTAGTCAATGACTTCACTTTAAATATCATTTTAAAGAAGACGAAGGTTAATTAAAAAAAAAAAACACATTGAACTACAGGCCAAAGATCTCCCCAAGCAAAAAACATGGCAACAATTAGATTTTGAACTTGAAATATGGCAAAAATACGTATCGGGGGAAATTCATAAAACCAATAAAACTAACCAATACAAGTTAGACGTAATATTTTTAAATAATAAAACCAATAGATGAAACCCACAAATACGGAACCTTTCAAGGCAATCTATTAGTTGTTTGAAATAAAATATGTCGTTGAAGATCTTCGTAGTACGCTCTTTGCATAGGATTTAAAATTGTCATGTCCATTGACGTAATTTTATGATCTTCATTTCGTTGTTCTCTTTCATTCATCATAGATAAGAGTTTTAGTTGTTCCTCCCTATCTTCGGCCCTTCTTCGACGGTCTGCAGCTTTCTGGTTACGGTCGATCGCCTTTTGTTCATCTCGCTCAATAGTTCTAGCAGAAATAGTTGATAACACTTCAATCATTTTGGATTGGTTGGCAGCCATTTCATCAAATCTACTATCGTGCGTTGTTTGATTCTTCAACTTCTCTTTCGCTGCCTTAGTACCAATTGGCCGTGTTGATGTATTAGATGGTTGTTCGTGCACCGCATCATTCTGGTTGGATTGAGAAGCCTCATATTCACTTGGTGGATTCGAACATGGATCAGCATGTTGCGTGCTTCTTTTTTATCGAAATTCATCCCACTTACAACTTTGGCACAAAATCTCCCAACATGTATCGAATGTGAAGTGTTTTTTTGTATTGCATGATACATCCGCTTTCCTTCAGTGGCCTACAAAAAAAAAAAGATTACAAAGATTTCAATAACAAGTATACATTTAAAAAAGAACATTGATATTTAATAACACAAATAAATTTTACCATATCTGCCTCAGTTGTTCCACTTTGTTGCCTAAGTTGAATTTGTTTAAGAAAACCACAAAATTTATTAATTGCCTTTTGCATGGCAGACCAACGGTGAGTCAAAGAAATACGATTTCGATTTGATTCACTGCTCAATTGTGAATTAAAATAAACAAGTACTAGTTCCCAAAATATAGCCATAGTCTGACAATTACCAGTAATGGGATCTTGAGAGACTGCTAACCAAGATCTACATAAAGTTTCATCTTCTATAATTGAGAAACATGAGAAGTTTCTAAAATAAAATGATTATCATTGTTCTGCGTGTTCTGTTCCCGTGAAGATTCCGAAATAAAATTAATATGAGTGTTGTGCTCAAACATTTGTGATTCCTCAAACATTTCGAAATCTTCCGTAGTTTAGAAAAAATACAATACACTTACTGAAAAATATTGTAATGATATAAAGCTCAAACTCAGAATCAAATAATTTAATCAGATAATATTAATTACAATTTCAAGGGAAACAAATATCTAATGACACAAAAGAAAAAAAATTCACAACATATAAATGTTATTCTGAAAATGTAATACTCTGTCAGCTTGATATAGAAATCAGATCTATTTTATAG